TTTGATTTATTAATTGATATGCAGAGTTCTAATATACTTAGTGCATCTTGATCAATAATTGCGAAAAGTACTCAATCAGATGTGAAGTCAATGAAATGTTCAATTGTCTTGACTGAAATTCCCACTGACTTCCGACACATTTTACTCGAATACCCAGAGCTTTTGAGGCAGGACAAGACACCCTCAAAATGTAAACATAAAACTGTACATTTTATTGAAACAAGTGGTCCTCCTGTATTTTCAAAACCTCGCAGATTATCACCAGAGATACTTGAAATTGTTAAAAAAGAATTCAGTTCACTTCTTGATTTAGGATATCAGACCATCATCAAGCAACTGGTGTTCTCCATTACATATGATTCCTAAATCAAACGGAAGTTGGAGACCCTGCGGAGATTATAGGGCACTGAATAACATTACGAAGCCTGATAGATACGGCATTCCTCATATTCATGATTTCAGTTTCCAGCTTCAAGGGAAGAAATTTTTTTCAAAAATAGATTTGGTACGAGCATATCATCAAATTCCAATTAACCCAGCAGATATTCCAAAGACAGCTATTTCTACTCCATTTGGATTGTTCGAATATATTACTTTGCCATTTGGGCTAAGAAATTCTGCTCAAACATTTCAACGGTTCATGAATGAATTAACTCGTAACCTCCCATTTTGCTTCACATATTTGGATGACTGTTTAATTGCCAGTGAAACAATTGAGCAGCACAAAGAATATGTTCGTTTGTTTCTGGAACAACTTAACAAATATGGTATAGCCATTAATATTGAAAAGTGTCAATTTGCTGTCTCCAGAGATTGAATTCTTGGGTCATAAAATAACCACAAAAGGAATTCATCCTCTAGAAAAAAAAATTGAAGCTATTAAAACTTTCGTTCGCCCGAGGACTATTCGCTCCTTGCGGAAATTTCTTGGTTTAATTAATTTTTACAATCGTTTTATTCCAAATTGTACAAAAATTTTGCAACCATTGAATTCGCTATTGGCGAGATCTAAGTCTAAATCAGATGAGAATAGAATAATTGAATGGTAGGAACATTTAGTTAATTCGTTTGAGGATATCAAGTTTGCTCTTTCAAGTCAATGCATGTTACACTTTCCCAAGCAAAATGCTGAAACTAACATCGTTGTTGATGCTTCCGACAACTATGTTGGTGCTATCTTGCAACAAAAGGTTGGTGATGATTGGCGTCCTATCTCGTTTTTTTTTCAAAAAAACTCTCTCCCACAGAACACAGGTATAGTACGTTCGGTAGAGAATTGTTGGCTATCTATTTAGCAATACGTCATTTTCGATATTTTGCTGAAGGGCGTGAGTTCCATATTCTAACTGACCACAAACCCATTATTTATGCCATTTCACCATCTTCAGATAGTTACAATCCAAGAGAAATTCGTTATTTAAACTTCATCGCGTCTTTCACTTCAGATATTCGACATAAAGCGGGAAGGGACAATCTAGAAGCAGACGTCTTATCGAGAATGAAAATTAACTCGATAGATTTTTCATTACTTGATGATATAGATTTTAAGTCTCTTCTATGTGACATGAGCTTGGGCACACCAAGACCGTTCGTTCCGAAAGTTTTTCAGAAAAACATTTTTACGGTACTTAATTCACTGTCACATCCAGGAATCAGAGTAACTCAACGCCTCATATGTTCACGCTTTATTTGGCCCAATATGAATAAAGATATCCAACTTTGGGTATGCAACTGTCAAAGTTGTCAAAAGAATAAAGTTGACACACAAAACCAGAGATTGGAACTTTCTATCCTCCTTCCAAGAGATTCGAAAATGTACATTTGGATGTCATCGGTCCGTTACCTTATTCAAAAGGATACTCCTATATTCTCACATGTATTGACCGTTTCTCTCGTTGGCCAGAAGCTTTTCCGATTGGCGATATCATTGCTTCTTCTAGAGCTCAAACATTCTTTGCTGGATGGATCTCAAGATTTGGTGTACCTTCTACTATAACAACTGATCGCGGATCTCAGTTTGAGTCATCTTTGTGGAAGGAGTTTTTAAAAACACTTGGCTCATGTAAAATTCGAACGACAGCATATCATCCTTCGTCAAATAGCATTGTGGAACGTTTAAATAAACAAATTAAGATTTCACTGAAATGTCATTCAAAAAGCCAATGGGTTGATATTCTTCCTTTTGTTTTACTTGGTATCCGTACAGCTCTTAAATAGGACTTAGGCTGCACAGTTTCTGAACTCGTCTATGGGACAACTCTGAAACTTGAGGAAACAAAGAATTATGAGCCACTCATGTTCCCTGAACCTTTCAAGTGTTTCATGAGGCAATTAAAGTTTCTTCCTGCAAGAAAGAATTACAGAAAGGGAATATTTGTTTCTAAAGACCTTTCATTTTCCACGCATGTTTTCGTTCGAAATGATGGTGTCAAAAAGTCACTACAAGCATCTTATGATGGACCATTTAAAATTTTAAATAGAAGTGATACATATTTCACCATTGATATCAATGGAAAAGCTAATACTGTTTCTATTGAAAGACTCAAGTCAGCTTATTTTGACTAGTTTTTGTGGTGGTAAAACGCTCTTTACTGTTAATTTTATTTTATTTATTTTTTTGTGTCTTAAAGTGTTGAAGGGGGGAGTAATGTAATGATAGCAATACTGTACATACTCCAATTAGGTAGTATCAGTATAGGTGACAACTAATGTTAACTAAACCCGAGACTACGCGAGACTCTCGCCGAGTCTGGTTTCGTCTCGTCGAGACTTTACGAGACGAGATCAAAAGCCACTCTCGTCTCGAAAAGTCGAGACAAGACGAGACCAGTCTCGAGTCTCGCGGCATCACTAATTGTTTTAGTAGAAGGAAAAACGGTACTTACCTTCCTTAATAGAAATACCTACAATTTACAATTATCGTGTACACCTCATTAATAATAATAATAAAAAAACTTCAATTTCAAGTATTTTTTTAAGGGAGGTAAGTATCGCTTTTACTCCCACTAAAACAATCATCTATTTCCAAAATTTTGATAAGCTGTCATTTCGTTACGGATGAAAATAATGAGATGAAATTCTAGCGCCATAAAGAACTCCATAAGACCTTAAAAAAGAGATATGACACGACCCCTATCCCCTAGTCAAATTTGGGGAGTTCTGCCCCTAGCTAGGGGGTTAAAGCTACGGGGATGAAACAAACTGAAAAATAGTTCCCCCTCAAATCAAACATCGACGTGTCCGAGCGTTTTTCCAGATTCTCATCTCAAATCTAATAAATAGGGGTGGACTGTTTTACCTGGGACACCCTGTATAGATATACTGAGCATGTCCGACGTCATAAAGTATTATACTTTATGACGTCATAAACAGATTTCAAAGCGTTGTATCTCCGTCAATTTTTGACTAACACGAAAAAGAAAAAAACACGTGTTGACTTATTTTTCATTGTCTAACGAAATCAGCAATAAAAAAAACTGAGTCAAGGGGCCCATTCGGGGTATCTAGCCTCTCATTATTTATTTAATCCTAAACAATATCAATAGGTAGATATTGCCCTACTGACGGATGCGAATATTCCTGTTACAAAGTCATACTTTTCCTGAGTTGAGAATCGAACACATTCCTATATAAAGTCGATTGAGAAGATTGTTAGTTTAAAATTCTTGTTCGCTTTGTTTTGTTTCTTTAAAAATCAGCCACGCGTAAAGGGGAATAAAAAAACATCGCGCACGCACCTTTTGCTTTGGAACCATCCAATGTTGGCATACGTTTTTTCTTTCTTTCTTTGACTTAGGTACCGTTGGGTACATTAAATTTAATGGTGATAGTACTAGAAAGTCTTAGTAGATATAACCTGGTATTATTTATCTGAGATTCTTGAGTAATTAGTTGGAAAACTTCTAAAAACAAATGAAAGAAACTCCCATAAAAATATTGCAAATGTGTAAATTGTAAAAGCAAATTACTATGCCTCTACAAGAAAAATAAATGCTTTTGTTAGTGGTCTAGAGGTTAAAATCCATTTATTTCTTTTCTCTTACCAATTAGGCAACTTATGAGCTGAAACTGTTCATTTGAATATTGGCACCAACAGAATCCTAATAGTTAATAAACAAAATGAGCCGTGCGGTATTTAAGACTTCCGCACCCGGCTTCCAACAGGTTGTTACCATATAAGAAATATTCTTTCCGAACATTGCATTGAAAATGCTAATAAATACTGAGGCTTGTGTATATAAACTTATCCCATTCTCAATTTCGCACTAGATTATGTTAAATTTTCGATCTAGTTTATTCATGAAAATATTATTCTAAATGTTCACCCTGCATACTGTATCTTTATCACCAACATGAAATAACAGAAGCTTATTCCATTTGAAAACAAAAGTGTCTCTTTTTGGGATAGCCCATATGTTTGATCCATTTGAATAGCAAGTAACTTGTATCACCTTCCGTTCCCTTCCACTTTACCCCTTTTTCCAACTAATCTAAACATTTATTCTTGATCTTCTTGGAGACACCCAGCTAAACTTAATTGTTAAACTGATATTCTGATGATCGTCTATGGTTTCAACTAACAATTTAAGTTCAAAAATAAAGTGGTGAAAATGACTACTGTGTTACCATTCCCAGTATCCCAGTTTTGAAATTCTGTAGATAACTGTAATGCGCAATAATTTTTTGAATACAAAAACGTTCCGTGATTTTACCATAATACTGATTTAAGCATTACTTAAACGGTACTTTTCAGTAAGTTCCAATATTGCGTGCGCAGTTGAATGCCTTGACAAAAAAACTTCACAAAATGGCCCTTTGTCAAGATTTGTTTAGAATAATATACTGAAAGGTAATATGCTTTTGCGTCCTACTTATAAATATTGAGACATTTTTAGTCTGAGGTTGTTGACTTCGAAAAATTGCATCTGAATAGAAAAATTTATTGCATATTGCAACCAGTAGTTTAAGTTTTCAATATGTTTTTGTTTGTTTTATTTCAGATCCAAGCCTCAATTGTTCACCAACGTACCGTTCAGAGTTGCAAGAACGGGCACTCATAATTTCACTGCAAATGTTCAACTTGATTTTGGAACAATGCGTATGTATTCTTCAGGCACATTTTTATGCCTGTCTATGCGACAATAAGTCAAAATCGCCTTTGGATACTTTACCACATGACGCTAACGTTTTACTTCCTGCCGTTAAAGTTTGGTGTGACTGGATGTTGTGCCATGCTTCTGTGTGGAATCCACCACCTAATACAGGAGATTTCAAATTGGGATCATCTGGAGATCTTTGGTCTCGATTGGGTCTACTAATGAATATTTTAGCACAATTGCATCCAGATTCTTTGGATATTTTTGTGAATGAACCCAGAGAAGGTGAGTTTATATTTTTAACATTAGGATTTATCTTGTAGTAATATTTACGTGTGTGGTAGCCCTATGTTAAAACAGTCTATCGAGATTTGTGTCAAAAACAGAAGACTCATTTGCTATTCTTACATTCGCATCATTTAGAAATAATTAATAGCGGAACCGATCGGGAAAAATGCATGTAAATAACGATCCCAGTGGGGGTTGAAAGTAAAGCATTAATGATTTCGACCATGAGCTTATTCGTTTCGCACAATACATCATTCTGAATGATGCATTATTTGATTAATGACGTTGTTACCAAATTAAGCGGTCTATAAGTCAACAAGTTGCGTGTAACTCCTTTATCATTATTCTCTCTTTAGAAATTTTACATCTTTTGTCTTTACTGTTACAATTAACTCTGTGTCATTTCTATTGCTGGAATCTTCTCGATATACGAGAACGACAGAAAGACGCACCCCCATTTACGGCATGTAACACTTCCGTTTGTAGACACATTATTTTTTCCCATTTTATATGTTTCGAATTAACTAAGAAGACCATATTATATAATATTGGCGTCAATTATTTCTTAACTATACCTACGACGCGATTTTAAGGAGATAAAGCCACTGTAAATGTTTCCGATCCTTTTCAAAGCTGACCAATTTCGAGCAAGCATCATATTGATGAAGCAGTTAATTAACTCATTTTTCTAAAGGCGACTATCGCCGCGTGTTGCTTTCTATTCCATAGAGAAAGGTAATTAGAATCTGGTATGGTAGCTGTCTTGTTTTGGTTAGTAGTAGGCCGCTTTTATTATTGGTTCTCAATAAATCATACAAATATGAAACGGTTATGTTATGATACAAAAGAGTCTCTCCTGTAACTTATGGAAAAGATTTTGTTTTGTACGGGACCAACCAAATCCTGTATCGAAATAGATTTTTAATTCAAAATTACTTACTATGGTCGTCAAAATGGGCAAATCACAGGTGCCAACTATCATAATGACAAACACTTGCACACTCTGTATATTTTTGGCTAGAATGATATATTTTTTTCTTCTAGTTCCATATATACCATATTTGGTTCAGCTGTTTTTGCGCTATTTAATTTCAAGTTTGCATTGAGCAAGCCTCATCATTGATATCAGAAACTGGGAACAGACAAAAACAGCTGAACCAAATATCAACATATATGGTACATATATTTGGAACCAGAAGAAAAAATCTATTATTCTAACCAAAAATATACAGGGTGTTCCATTAAAAAAAATGCAAGTGTTTGTCATCAACAACCAGAGCAGGTTTTTAGGAAATTCGTTGTTTACGTCTGGGAGCACGTCTTTTCTGGGATTTCTATTATATGCGATAATCATGTTTCTCTAGATAGATCTGGAATCCGGGGTACGATTTCGACTATAAATAGCGCGTAGTAGTGGTGGTACGTATGGAGTTAGTCTCATAAGAGCTTTGTTGCAGTGCAAATAAGAGTGTTGTTGTAGTCAATCAGTTTTACATACGAGATTTGTTGTGTTCGTTTCGATAAGTGATGAGTGAATTTTATGTAAAGTCAATGGGTTTAATAAAAGTTGTTACTGTTTGTGAAATGAGTCTTAGTGAATCCGGAATCAGTGACAATTTAGTGTCAGAAGTGAGTGCATTAATTTGAGCTAATTAGTTGGAGCAATCAGTGAACTTTTACTGAACTGAAATAGTGAATTTATTATGTACCAGATTTGACATGGAAAGACAAGCTCACAAGCGGGTTTTCTGGAAAATTCTAGAAACTTCTATGGAATTCTATTTGGAGACCTTAAGTGATACAAGAATAGTGATTACACTATGCTGACATCGAAGAACAAGTCTACAAAGTTTTTGTTCTAGAACATTCCATTGTGATCTATTCGAAAATTTGACTTGAATACACATGAACGACAAAAGACAGAAAGAGGAAGACCAAAGACAAAAGAAAGACTAGAAGACGAAGCCCGAAGACAGAAAGGAAAGAAGAAGAGGAAGACTGGAGACGACAGAAAGAGAAACAAGAACAGTGCCGACTCGTAGCACTTTTGTAACAACACGAAGACCAAATGCAAAAAGAACAGGATCGGCTTTAGGCATATTTTTACAATAAGAAGACCAGAGACAAAAAGAAAAACAAGAACAAGAAGATCGAAGACAAAAAGCAAAAAAAAAAGACAAAAAGACGAAGCCCGAAGGCAAGAAGAATAGGACCGGCTTCAGGAAAATTTCAAATTTTAGCGTGAATGGTTGCAAACCGTAATCTCTTAGGAACCAATTAGACTCGATAAAATTCTGGAGGAAGTAAAAAACAATAAATTCACTAATGCGATGGAAGAAGTACGTGAAGAAGTAAGAAAGCTTACAAGAATTTGAAACCGATATCCGCCGTCTAGTTAATTTGGCTTACCCGGAATCAGCAGTAGAGATGAGAGAACAACTAGCAACCGGAAATTTCATATATGGAATTAGAGATATATATGGATGTATAGAGAGCTCATAACCTAACTATCAAGTAGCAGGGAGGCTTTAATCAAGGTCCTAGAAATCGAGGCGGCCTATAAGAATTCCGAAGCAAAGATTAGAGCTGTATCGATTCGTGAATCAAAAGAGCCAATGGGAGAAATTGAAGGCACCATAATCTACTTCTAGACGAATAACGGAAGGCTGTTACCAGAATCAAACAGGGGAACCTGCGGAAGTACTGTAAATTTTAAGCGTAATTGTAGACTACAGTTGAGATCCCGCTTTTTTTCTAATAACTCTCACTCTTCGATGAGGAACTTGAACAAGTGCACCGAACGTTACTGAGGAGAGGACATTCCAAACGTGACTGTAGAGTACAACCGAGATCTCGCTCTCCTTCTCATGACTGTCAACCTTCGATTCAGAACTTGCAACGATACGATTTTTCCCACAAACATCGATTTTGTAAACTGTCCAACAACGCAGATGCCTTATCTAGCCAAGCATGTCCGGATCAAGACAAGAACTGCCTCAGAATTGATCAACGAGAAAGAGTTTCTCTTAGAATTCGATTGAATGTGGATCAAGAACGGATTCCCGAACAGCTGGGAACAGATCAAAAACAAAATGTAGAAGGAAAAAATCTGGCAAGCGAAGAAAGAAAGAAGATTTGAAAGTTAGAGTCTGAACTACCACCATACGACGGACAGACATCCTGGGCGATGTACAAACATCAATAGGTAGATGGTTGATTGTGGCATTACGTGGCTCTGCCTTAGACATGATATAAAGACTTTTCCATCAGCTTTCTAACATAAGTATGGCGCGCTTGTTGATGCGTTAGAGCGTCGTTATGGAGACTATCACCAAAGGCAGCTTTACCAGGTGCAGCTAAGAAAGAGACAACAGAAAGTTGCGGAAAGCGGACAAGAATTTGAAACCGATATCTGCCGTCTGGTTAATTTGGCCTACCCCGAAGCAGCAGCAGAGATGTGAGATCATCTAGCAGCCAAAAAAATTATATATGGAAATAGAGATATGGATGTACAGAGAATGCTGCTCATAACCAAACCATCAAGTAGCAGCGAAGCTCCAATCAAGGTTCCAGAAATCGAAGCAGCCAAGATTTCCGAAGCAAAGATTAGTGTAGATTTGTGAAGAATATTGAAGGCACCATAATAGGGGAGCTTCTGGAAGAATTACGGGATGTTACCAGAATCAAACTGGGGAACTTGAAAGGGAGCATTAAATGTTACCGCTGCGGAAGCAGAGGACATTTTTAGCGTGATTGTAGAGTTCGGTTGAGATCTCGCTTTACTTCTGTTATAAACCCGCCACTCGTACTTTTTGATTGCCCCCTGTAACTACAGTTAAAGAAGCCAGAGAATTCGACTATTTTCAAGATGAACTGAATCACGAAAATTCGAGCGTGTTAGAGAAGGACGCACATAACTATAAAAGCCCCGGTGCGCACCGCGTAAGGATCAGTTCTGATTGACGTACGACAAGTGCAGTAAACTGTAAAGTCAGGAACTAAATAACCACGTTCGAAAATAATCGTGCCGTATAAGCTTTATTTGGAGTAGTTCGGAGTGTAAAGTAGTGTTTTCGTGTGATTTTTATGGTATTGTGTTTAATAAAATTCGTTAAAATTCGAAAAAGTAGTCTCACCCTTCTGCGAACCCGTATAGGTAAGAATTGGTGTCAGAAGTGGGATAAGTGAGTGAAGAAATTTGCATTTATGGTAAATACGAGAAAACAGACTGCCGAAATGGAAGAACAGGTGCTCGCTTTTTTGACACTTGCGGACGAGAAGAGAGCAAAAGAAAAACAAGAAGAACAGGACCGAATACAGAAAATCCTTCAAGAACAAGAGGATAAGCGAAAATTAGAACAGGACCGACTAGTGTTGCAGGTCGCAAGAAATCTTGTCTTGCTCGGCTATTTCTTGTCTTGTCTTGCTAAGCAAGACAAGAAATTTCCAATTGCTTGTTCTTGCAAATTTCTTGCAAGCCTATTTCTTGTTCTTGCTGCAAGACTCTTGCTATTTCTTGTTCTTGCTGCATAAAAAGTTCCTACATAGATTTTACATTAGTTATGGTCCTTTTTCAAAGACTAGAGCAAGCTAAGTTTCAAAATAATGATTAAACTTCCTTGAAAAAACTCAAACGTTTTTATCACATTAGAAGATTACATCAGACAAGTCAACGAAATTAAATGTTTAATGAAAATGTTTGATTTTTGAAAGTTTAAATTATATTGGAACTTCAAGAAATATTTTTCAAGTGAAAACTTATTTAGGCCCGTCCAGCACACTTTTTTGTGGGTACTGAATGAAACTGAGCCGTCACGCTTGGCTTTGTAACTCTCATTCGGGTACAGTCGGCTCGAGTCGACACATTTTTTGACAATAATCATTTTTCTTTTCTTTGATTGTAATTCAATATTACTAATATAAGCGTATGCTCATATCTAAATGTGACAGAAATTGCTGTTTCATACAGGCATAATCTAACGAATATTTAGCAAATG